CCACCATGTGGATTCACCATCAGTGATCCCATGGCCGACCGGCACGCATCGCATGCATGCAGTCTTTGCATGAAGGACGATGGTGCATAGCACTGCACTGCACCGCAAGAAAGGGAAAAAAGCCGCTGCATGGTAGCCGCAAGTTTTCTGCCTGCATCGGCCTTTTTCACCCTGTGCATTGCATAGCCTCTCCAGTCTTGGGACCAAGGCCGCACCGCAAGCACCTTCTCTGCAAGGCTCGCACAGCCATGGCACCTTTTTCGCAAACCTGCATGCCACATCCTCGCACAGGTCGGTTTTCCTCTACGAGGATCAAGCAAGCAGGTGCCTCTCGGCCCCGCCCCTACGCCGCATGTTCTACTCGATGCCCTCGCATAGCATGTATGCCCAACCCTAAACCCTAATCTTTTGCCAGCAGGTGCACAGCATCGACAAGGCCAGGACCTCAAGATCGCCGAAGGTGCACATTTTTTCAATCTGAGTGAGTTTGAGTTTCTGTACTGCATAGCCTCTCAAGCCAAGACTCTCGTATGTGCAAGCTCGGCAAAGCATTACTTCTCAGTACCTAGCTCTAAGTTCTGATGTATGTCTGAGAGCAATGGTGACGAACTGGACACCAGCAATGCACTGGGTGAAGAATCGATTGACGAGGCACCGCCCAGAGTGGTGGTAGAAAGGTATCGCAAAGCTACCCCCCCCTAGCACAGCACAAGCACAGCAACCAAGCTCCAGCCAGCAGCATATGATTACATCGACTTCGGCCCCTCTTCTCATGCAAAGCAAACCGAAGTTTGGGCCCGGTCCTAGAGGACACGCTCCCCCTCGCCTGACAATTAGCCCCTACCCTTTGCCAGCAACCCTCCGCACGCAAATGCACATAACAGCACATTGGCACGATCGCCTGCAACCCCACGAAACAACCTACAGACCCAAGCTACCTCCCTTCGCAAAGGGGCCCCACTTAGCGCCTCCACTCAGCATCGCAACACGACCGCGCTGCAACATGCCAGATCTTCGTACTGGAGGACGGCCCCCGCCACAGCCACGGCCAACCCCACGCAGCCTCGTGTTTCGACGACCGGGCATAGCGCTACAACCCGCGCCGAACACATCGTCTACACAGCTACGGGGTGATGCTCCGCACCGCAGGCCGCAGACAGCACCAATGCACACACAAGCTGCAACGACAACGCAACGCGCAATGCCACTATCCCCGGCGCCTGTTCGCGAACAGGCCCCCACGACAACCAAAGCACGCAATGCCGCAGCCCGCAAGCTCGCAGAACAGACCTTCATATTGATCTGGTCAATAGAATTGGCCCGGCATGCGAAGCATTCCTGCAACTCAGTGCCTCAGCAAACTTTGCATCGCACCTACGACGGCTCGTGGCACCCTTCGCAGTTAGCGCACTGCAACGATACCTCCGAGCCAGCCATGTTTTCGTGGACTTTATCTCCACTACATCCTCGCAAAGTGGCAAGCCATGCCTTAGCAACATCCAGGTATCGCTTATGGCAGATTATATGCTGGCATGTTCCGCAAGCAAACAGGAAGACCGCGAAGTGCACATGATGAGCCCCGTCTCTAGCATCAAAGCACTTCGCTGGGTTGCCAAGACCCTGCAATGGCAAGCACTTTCAGAGGCGATGTCGTCTCCAGTCATCTCAGCATACGGCAGGCAATCGCGCGAATACGATCGCAAAGAAGCGACTCCCATACCCATGGCATTGCTCGCATGCTGGGAACGCACTATTTGCTCCGCAGAGGCACCCCTCACCACTAAGCTGTTCCTGGGCGCCGTCCTGCTCTGCACGCACGCAAGCCTTCGCTTCGGCGATGCACAGAGGATAGAATGGACTACACTGCAACTAAGTGCGCAAGGATTGCACGGCACTGCATATGCAACCAAAACCACGAAATGTGGTCAGCCGTTCGCGTGTACTTGGCACGGCATCACAGGCAGATGTACGCAATCTTCATGGTTGCTGCAATGGCTATCCTGCCTCGTGGAGGTAGGCACAGAAGCCGACCTTGAGCCAGATTTTCTCTTCTTTCATGCAGATCTAGATTCGCACAAGCACCCACAAGTTTTCCCTTGCAGCTACGCACACGCACTGCTGTGCCTCAGATTCATGGCACAAAAAGCTGGACTGGCAGAGTCAGAGGCATTCGCACTGACATTGCACAGCATGAAATCCACCATGCTGGCGGCCGCCGCGCAAATCCAGTTCGATGAGCATGCACGCCTCGCACAGGGACACCATCGGGACAGCCTCCGCCTCTACAGCCGCAACGACACTCTGGAAGCCCTCCGACTCCAACGTGAATTGAGCACGCAATTGGCTCGAGGATGGAGACCGCAACGCAGTATGGCCAGAGGAGGCGCAGCCCCCGTACCCGAACCACCCTTCAGCACGCCACCGCAGCCCCCGCAGCAACTGCTCGACTACGAACAGCTGCAAGCAGGGACGTGGGCAGTTTTCACATCTCGACATGAAAGCCTGCACCGCAACACCGAACCCCAGTCGCCCGAACCGGACGAACAGCAGAGCACACGCCCATACACCGACTCGGAAGCAGAGTTGGTGGAGAAATACGCGCGGGAACGCACGCAAAGCTCAGAGGAGGAATCTGAGGAGCCCACCGCCCCTGCACCGGATGAAGAGCTTTTCGTGTGCTCGGGGCCCTGGAACGCACTGCACAGCCCCACGCGAAGTTCGCATCTAGAATATGAGCTCCTTTATGGATCGAATCCGCTGCATGCAGATGTGCTCATAGCAGCCTGTGGTGCCGACCTGGGCTCCATGCCTGTGGTCATTAAGACCCATGACCCTGTTTCAGCATGCAGACGCAAAGCGTGCGTACTCGCACGAGCAAGCTTGCAAGCATAAACATCGCCCTGCCTGCTCGCTCCTACCTGCACTGCCCAGGTGACGACTACGCCGGGAGGCCCGAAGAGGGAGGAAGAGCTGCAGCTTGTCTCCTGCGTTTGCCTGTCTTGCTTGTTTTCTTGTTCCCGCACGCTTTGCACTGTACGCGTTGCTCAAGCCAAGTGGCTCAAATAACAACCACGACACAACATTGCAGTTTTTACTTAGCAGATAGACCTTTAAGTTTTCCCGCACCGCATCGCTAGGCATGGCAACGCAATCCGGGGCAGACGTACCCGGAGACGCACCGCACTCTGCACACGATGAGCTGATCGTGAGCTGAACAACGAAGAAGGGCTGCAGCGCATCCTGCGGGAACTCTGCGTCCCGCCGGCAATGCACCAAGCACTGCGAGCGCAAGGCATATGTTGCATCGCAGATTTTGCCTACGCTTATAACAGCACCGCCGACCTCGATAACTTTGCGCGTCCAAGGACGAGGAGTTTTGGACGGCACTGCAAGTGACAGAGCAGCCCCTGCACAGCATGCCCATGGCACGCCTGCGCCGCGCGCACTGGTGCAAGCACAAATCCGAGTCAAGGCATACGAGGCAGAGAGGCATCGCACAGAAGAGCCTGCGCCGCAGAGCTCTGCACCTTCTTCCAGCACCGCACCGCCCACCGACTCCTGGGTGGAGCACGCACCGCAACGCCTGGACAACGACACCGTGGCAAAGCTCACTGCAGAGTTCAAAGAAGCCTATCCGGGAGAGCTCCTGGATAGCGCAAGCACGCCCAGCATTCGCCTGCTCAGCATGGTATACGCGTGGTTTAAAGACCCTGCACAGCCTCGCATCAAGTACATCCCTTGGCCATTCCGCATGTCGCAACGCCAATACACCGAGATCATTGAGGCCAAGGCGCACCGCATTGTCCGCACTGAGGCGCAGCTCATCAGCACTGCACTGTTCGATGACACGCCGACGCTCAGCATTGCAGAGGTCAACATTAACGAATCGTGGCTGCAAGCAAAGCA